AGCCCCTCGGAAAGAGGGTGGGAGGGGGCGCTGGGCGGTCCCGCTCCAGCCCCGCCCCCAGCTCTCCTGGCAGTGGCCGCGCTGGCCCCCTGCCTGCCTGGCTGGGCTCTCCTAGGCCACAGGGCCGACCAGGACCGGCTGGTGTCCCTGGTGGCTTCTAGAGCGGGCGGGCTGGCCCTCCTCCTGCCAGCCCCAAGTCTCTTCTCGGAAGGACCTCTGTCCCATGCTGACAGCTCCGAAGCCTGGGACAGCAAGGTCAGAGTGACAGGGTGCGCGGGGGGTCACTGACCCTTCGTTTCTTGACCTCGGAGCGGTCACCAGCCCTGGCTGCCAGATGTCTCCCTAGGACCCTGTTGGGGGAGGTCAGTGGGCCTCACTCAGAAAGCCTGTCCCCGTGGGGGAAGGGTCTTTTGGGGTGAGGGTGGGTCTGGGGTCCCCAGTGTTCTGCCGCATGCTCCACCTCAGGCCAGAGGAGGTCTGGGAGTTCTGAGAGGTGTCTGCTGCCTATTCCAGGGAACCACTGGGCCTTGCAGGGGCGCTCAGGAGTGTGGGGCCCGAGGAGCACGGCTGTCCAGGGGGCCTTGGTGAAGCTCTTGGACCCTTGGCCAGACGGGTAGAGCCAGCTGGTCCGCCGCACATGCTCAGTCCAGTGGAATTCCCAGCAGGGCAGTTGGTGGGGTGGGAGGAGCCCCCCCTGGGAGGCCTCAGCTCACCCCTGGCCCCTGCATCTTTCTGTGGGTCTGGAGGCCAGTGTCCTCTCTGGTCTGACTGGTGGCTAAGGGGACCGTGCATGCGTTTCAGGGCTGCCTGGGCAGAATGTCACGATGGACGAGGGGGGCACACCCCTGCTCCCCGACAGCCTCGTTTACCAGATCTTCCTGAGCTTGGGCCCAGCTGACGTGCTGGCCGCTGGTCTGGTGTGCCGCCAATGGCAGGCCGTGTCCCGGGACGAGTTCTTGTGGAGGGAGCAGTTCTACCGCTACTACCAGGTGGCCCGCGACGTGCCCCGACACCCAGGTCAGCACTTGCACTCGGCCCCGAAGCCCATTGGTCCTCACGCTGGTCTGGGATAGCCAGACCGGGCTTCCAAGCCAGGGCCTGGTAGGGAGGCTGAGGGGCAGGGCTGGGCCCCTCGCTGTCAAGGCATCAGGGTGACACCCCCCTCCCACAGCGGCCACGTCCTGGTACGAGGAGTTCCGGCGGCTCTACGACACGGTGCCGTGCGTGGAGGTGCAGACTCTCAGGGAGCACACTGACCAGGTCCTGCACCTCAGCTTCTCCCACTCGGGCTACCAATTCGCTTCCTGCTCCAAGGACTGTACCGTGAAGGTGAGGGCAGCCCGACCCGGTGGGGAGAGAGGCCAGGCCAGGGGTAACAGCCAGGAACAAGAAGCCGCTGCCCGATGGCGGTTTCTGGGCACCGGCTTGGCTGAGCCGGCCAGGAGAGGGGCCCAGGTGCCCCCTGACTCGGCCCCTCCTCGCAGATCTGGAACAACGACCTGACCATCTCGCTGCTGCACAGCGCAGACATGCGGCCCTACAACTGGAGCTACACCCAGTTCTCCCAGTTCAACCAGGACGACTCGCTGCTGCTGGTATCGGGGGTGTTCCTAGGGCCCCACAACTCCTCCTCTGGCGAGATCGCAGTCATCAGCCTAGGTGAGAGGGGGCCTGGGGGGGCGGCCCTCGGGGGAGGCCCCGCCCCTCCAGGCCCCACCCTCTCCCGTCTCTGCTCCTCCCACCCCGGCCACGCCCTGGTCCCACCCCCCCGCGCAGACAACCCTGCCGCATCTAGCCGCTCCCGCCAGACACCTTCGCCCTGCTGTCTCGCGTGCGCAACAAGCCCTACGACGTGTTCGGCTGTTGGCTCACCGACACCAGCTTGATCTCGGGCAACCTGCACCGCATTGGGGACATCACGTCCTGCTCGGTGCTCTGGCTCAACAACGCCTTCCAGGTGCGCATGGGCGGGCCCTTCGGTCGCTACAGCCCCCACCCACCCATCCCCTACATAGCCCATTCCCACCCCTGCGCTCCCCACTCCAGGACGTGGAGTCTGAGAACGTGAACGTGGTGAAGCGGCTCTTCAAGATCCAGAACCTCAATGCCAGCACCATCCGCACCGTTATGGTGGCCGACTGCAGCCGCTTCGACAGCCCTGACCTCCTGCTGGACGCCGGCGCCCCTGACAATGCCCCGGGCCGCGTCTTCGACCTGGGCAGTGACGGTGAAGAGGAGGAGGCCAGCCCGGGCCCAGCCGGCGCCAAGGGCTTGAGGCGCCTCCTGGACGGCCTCCTGGAGGGCCGGGCACAGCCCCAGCTGTCGGAGCGCATGCTGGAGACCAAGGTGGCGGAGCTGCTGGCCCAGGGCCGCACCAAGCCCCCCGAGCCCAGCACAGCCGACGCCAGAAACAAACTGCTCATCTTCACCACTGGCTGCCTCACCTACTCGCCGCACCAGATCGGTGAGGGGCCCCAGGGTGAGGCTGCCCTGGGCAGGGGTGCTGGCAGTTTATGGGCGGAGGCCCAGCCCTGGTTCAGCCTCCTGGGTCCGGGGCCCACAGGGCAGGCAGCGCCCCCAGGCACCCAGGTTCTGCCTGGGCTGAGGGCTGCCCTCCCGGCTGTCCTGCAGGCATCAAGCAGATCCTGCCGCACCAGATGACCACGGCGGGACCTGTGCTGGGTGAGGGGCGGGGCTCCGACGCCTTCTTCGATGCGCTGGACCACGTCATTGACGTGCACGGACACATCATCGGCATGGGCCTGTCGCCTGACAACAGGTGGGCCCCCAGCAGAGTCCCGGGCGGGGTGTCCAGGGGTGCGTACTGAGCGGCATGCCCCTCGCAGGTACCTGTATGTGAACAGCCGTGCCTGGCCCAGCGGCTCGGTGGTGGCTGACCCCATGCAGCCGCCGCCCATTGCGGAGGAGATCGACCTGCTGGTGTTCGACCTCAAGACCATGCGGGAGGTGAAGCGGGCCTTGCGTGCCCACCGCGCCTACACACCCAACGACGAGTGCTTCTTCATCTTCCTGGACGTCAGCAGGGACTTCGTGGCCAGGTCCGGGCGGGGCGGGGCGGGGGAGGGGTGGGCCCCGAGGTGCCTGGCGGGGCTCATCCCAGGCTGTCCTGCAGTGGGGCGGAGGACCGGCACGGCTACATCTGGGACCGCCACTACAACATCTGCCTGGCCAAGCTGCGGCACCAGGACGTGGTCAACTCGGTGGTCTTCAGCCCCCAGGAGCAGGAGCTCCTGCTGACAGCCAGCGACGATGCCACCATCAAGGCCTGGCGCTCACCACGCGCTGTACGTGTCCATCAGGCCCGGCGCCCCCGCCCACGCCCCTTCTTCTCCTGGTTTGCCAGCCAGCGGCGCTGAGGGGCACTGGGACCCACCAAGGACACGACAGAGGCCCGTGGCCCTTTGCCGGGCTCTGGGCTGCTGCCCCAAACACACTGGGTGGCAGAGAAACTTGCAGCAGTAATGCCTTAGGAAGGGGGTCTAGCAGGGCCGCAGGGAGGGGACGGCCCGGCCCCGCCACGCTCGCACATGCACACCCCCTCCCACAGCTGTGATGCTCGTACTGGGCAGCCAGGTGTCTCCTGGCTGGCTTGGGGCGTACAAGACACTGGGGGCCTCTTGCCCTTCACCCACTCTCTTCCCCTGGGCCTGGGCCTGGGCCCTGGGCCGGTCAGTATGACATGTTCCAGTATGACATGTCCAGCCACCCTGCAGGGCCCTGCTGGTGTCTGCTGGGCCGAATGTGGCCCAGGCAGCCCAGGCTCCCTCCTCTGGGAACTGTCCAGCAAGCAGGGTCGAGGTGCAGGGCAGGCTACAGTGGGCCCAGGGGACATGCATGTCACTGGTCACGTATTCAGGGTCTGAATAAACAGTTGGCAATAGCACATGGCCGTCCAGTCTCTGTGCAGGGAGGGCCCGTGGGCTCTCATCCTGCCTGCTAGACAGGAGGCGGGATGCCCGAGGCCGCACTGGAGCTGCCCTGAACTGGCCAGCGTGACTCGAGTGTGTTCCTGGCTGCTGCTCCCACCGCCTCTGAGGAGAAGAGGCCCCGAGTGCAGAGGCCCCTGAGCACGTCCGCCACACCGTGCACACCCTGCCAGCAAGGGGACACAAAGGGACACTCAACCTGGCAAGTCTAGGCAACAAGCAGCGGGCTGGGAGGGGCCAGGTGGGGGAAGCAGGAGGGGCTGTGTCCACCCGGTGGGGACAGGAGGGCAAAGTGCCCAGAAGAGCCAGCCACCAGCACAGGCCACACACCGAGGCTGGAGCCCCAGGCCCCTGGGTTTGTCTTAGAACCAGCAGATAGGTGAGAACAGGGAAAGGGGGAAGCTGGAGCGCTCTGCCCAGGACACGCCTGGAACCATGGACAGGAGCCAGCAAGCCCCCAGGTGCAGCCGTGCTCCGGAGGAGCTGCAAGGTAGCACGATTTCTGGGAGAGACTTAAGATGTGTCTATAAAGCCAACAAGGAAACCTACAGAAGTCTCTAAAACAAAATCAGGGGAACAGGAATCAAGAACACGCAGAAGCTGAAAAATTAAGAAGGAACCAACGGAGAACATGTAGAGTGATCAAAATTAGCTCCGTGCAGGGGGAGAGGGCTGGCCAGGCCTGCCTCATGTGACAACGGGGAAGCGGAAGGGAGGAAGAAGCAGATACGCTGTCGGGGGGGCAGGCAGATGTGTGGACGCGGGCCTGAGCGTGTGAAGACGGACCCCAGAACACGTGTGCCGAGGTCTGACCGAGGAGGGGAACCACATGCTCAGTGCGGATGTGAGCCTGCGTCCCAGCACGGAGACCGAGGAGCCTCAGAGCTCGGAGCGGGGGCTCGGGGTGCAGGTGAGGTGGAGCAGACACGGGGCCCCGTGCCTCCCGCGGTGTAGCCGAAGGGCAGAGGCGAAGGGCACTGCAGCAGGTGGGTCAGGAGTGGCAGCAGAGGCGGCACCTCCTGCAGGCACTCACCCCCTCACCCCGGTACCTGGCCGAGCCCAGCGCAGCCATCAGCATGGAAGTCAGCAGCCGGGAGCAGCCTCGTGAAGCTGAGCGAGTGAGGAAGGGTCCCGGCTTTGTTCTGCCCCCTTTTTCTTTGGTGCCAGGTGATCCCCTGGGGCCGCGGGGACGCACAGGAGCCTTGCTTGCTGTGCGGGACTGCTGCGAGTCCAAGAGCCCCTGTCCCTTTGCTCTCTGCTCTCCTGCTGCATGGACCCAGGTGTGACCGGACCAAGGACGGGCGCAACACAGAGGAGGGTAGTAAGAGCCAGGCCTCGGGCTGAGGCCCAGACGCAGTGCCGGCACCCAGACCAGAGGCAGCAGCCTGGGAAACAGCCCACAAAGTGGTCCTGAGCGCCCAGGATTCCCCTCGGGCTGCAGGTCAGACCCCAGGCTCTGAGAGCCTCTGCAGAGCAGCACCGGAGTCCCAGCTGGGAACTGGGCCATGCACACGCAGGGCACAGCTCTGGGGCCTGGGCTGACACTCGGTCCGGCCCACAGATGGCAGTGGACGTGGGCCTGAGCCTAACCAGACCCAGGGCCTGTGAAGCAAAGGCATCAATCTTCTCCACAGGATTTCAACCAGACCCAGATCTGATGAAGTCACACTCAGAGCTGCAGAATATACCCCACAGGTACTTACTAGCATGCAAAGAACTGAAAAGTCCAGCTCCAGAGAAAGGACGCTGAGCAGTGCCGAGGGCCGCCAGGTTGTCTGAGACTCTGGCAGCCGTTACACACTGCTGGAACAGGCACTCGCACACACTCTGCAATGGATTTTAAGATGTAAACATCTCAGCAAAGAAACAAAATTAAAATAACCGAAACTTAAAACTCACTAATTGACTCAGTAGCAGAACGGAGACATCAGAGGAGTCAGTGAACTTGACTAAAGACAGAACAACTGAAATTCTCCAACCAGTACCAAGAGAAAAACGGATATCTAAAGAAAAATCAGTGCTGCAAGGACCTGTGGGACGAAAGTCAAGTTCTAACGTTTGTGTCACTGGAGCCTGAGAGGAGAGGAGGAAGAGCTTTGAAGAAATAATGGCTGAGAACTTCTCCAAATACAGCGAAAGACATAAACCTACAGGTTTAAGAAGCCGAGCAAACCTAACACAGGACAAACCCAAAGACACCCACAGCCAGACACGTCACGCCAAACTGCTGAACGCTGAGACGAAGAGTCACGAAGCAGTGAGACATCACACCTAGGCCCAGGGGAGCAGCGGTGTGGGCGCCCGCAGGCTTCTCAGCAGCAGCCACGGAGGCCACAGGAAGCGGCACAAGACGTTTTAAACGCCGGGGAACAGGACAGGCTGTCGGCCCAGAATTCTGTATTCAGTGAAAACCACCTGCTTTAGTAGAACTGCCAGTGCTGGCTCTTCTGACAGGAAGGAAATGGTGTCAGGAGGAAACGCAGAACGTCGCCATGAGGGAACCGCGGCACAGACGGTTAATGGACTCCGTCCTTTGGATGTGTCTGCGGCTGAGGGGAAGTCGGCTACGACATCGTCTGGTGACGCTGACAGCACGCACAGCGACATGGGGGGGCAAGAAGGGGTCCAGGGGTGGAAGGTCTCTACGTCCCAGTTAAGAGAAGAATACTCGTTCCAAGTCAACTGTCAAAAACGGAGGATGTCGTGACCCTTAGGACAACCACTAAAACTGCAGAGTCAGAGGCACAACAGATACACTAAACTTGAACACTAAAAACATTCAAAAAATTCTACAACATTATAGGCAGGAAACGGAGGAACAAAACCAGAGATGGAACCAACAGAAAACAAACACAAAGTGGTAAAATTACATCCAGCATATCAGTAGTTCTGTTATTGTCACAGTAAAGCAAAACAAAACAAAACAACCCCTGCAGTCCAACCATGCCATCGGAAGCTGACTCCAATGTAACACAGGTTGGTTACGAGTAAAGGGTGGGGACCCTTACGCCGCAAAAGCACCAGTAAGAACCAGCAGGACTGGCCATGTTGACGTCAAAGCACATTTCAGAAAGTTTCTCCCTGGGCAAAGAGGGGCACCGCGCGATGGCACAAGGGCACCCTCCCCAGGAAGAGAGAACCGGCCTCAATGTCTGTGCGCCTCGCTACGGGGCCTCAATCGCACGAGGCGGACGGCGTCAGAACCGAGAAGGAATGAGACGCGTCCACGGTGCAGGCGGAGACTAAGCGCTCCTCCCTCAGCGGGAGAGGAACCCAGCAGGCGGACAGGCCTCAGGATGCACAGGGACTGACACCCTCCGTGTTGGTGTGCTCGGCTGCCACAACGAAGCACCACTGACTGGGAGCTGAACACAGCAGGATTTCTCGTCTCATAGTTCGGAGGCCGGAAGTCCAAGGTGAGGGTGCTGACAGGGCCACACTTTCCAGGGCGAGACCCTTCCTTGTCTCTCCCCAGGCTCTGGTGGTTTGCTGGCAATCTTCGGTGCTCCTTGACTTGTCTCCACAGGGCCGTCCCCTCCCCGAGTCTCCTCACATCATCTTCTCTCAGGGCATGTCTGTGTCCACACTTCCCCCTTTTAGGACACCCCCTAATGACCTCATTTTAACTTGATGACCTCTGTAAGGACCCTGTTTCCAAATTAAGGTCATGTTCTGAGTAACTGTGAGGTAGGACTTCAACATATCCTTTTAGGGTGGGGGGCATACGGTTCCACCCACAACAGTTACCAACCAGCTGAATCTAACTGGCGCGTTCAGTACAGTCCGCCCGGCAACAGAATACACGTTCTTTTCAAGTTCACGTGGGGCATCCGCCACAGCCTGTGTCACAGAACAAGCCTCGGCAAACATGTCAACACTTCCAGACTCCTTCTATTTAAGACCAGCATGACCCCCAGACCAAAGCCAGGCAAAGGCTACAAAACAGAAATACAGACAAATACCCCTCACAGACAGAGCTGTGACGTGCTCCACAAGATGCTAGTAAACCAAATCAGCAATGTGCAAAATGAACACCACACCACACCCAAGCGGGGTCTACCCCAGGAATGCAAGGCTGGTTCAGTATTTGGAGCTCGATCAGTGCAGCCAGCTTATCAACGGCAGAAACAGCATAGGAGAAAAGCCACTTGGACATGTCACTTGATGCAGTAAACGCAGGTGGCAGAGCATCTGGACATGATAAAAACTCAGCAAACAAGGAGTAGAAGGAACTTGCTCAACCTGATAAATGCCACTGACGAAAAATCTATAGGTAGCATTGTACTCAGTGGTGGAAGAGGATGCCTTCCCCAAGCCCGCGAACACGGCGGGACCTCGGTCTCACCTGTTCAGGCTGGGAGGAGGGCTGGGCCCGAGGGACAAGGCAGATGAGAGGAATGAAAGGCACAGGGACTGGGAAAGAGGCATTGAAACTGCCCCTTTCACAGACAATCAGCTGAGGCATAAAATGCCCCAAACCCATACACACAAATCCAGCCAGCTTCCAGAAACAGTGCGTTTTCAACCAAGCAGGATATAAAAACAGCACACAGAAGTCAATTGTGTTTCTGAACAACAGGAACACGACTGGAAGCCAAAATTTAAAAATAACCCCTCTCTACAGTAGCTCGAAGAAGAAACGCTTCGGTCTAAACCTAACGAAACACGTGTAGGGCATGTGTGTCGAGTCCTACAAAGGGATGATTTACAAAAGAATCCAGAGATCTAAACGGAGACCAATTACGTTTCGGGACTGGAAGACTCAGCTTTGATGTCAATGTTTCCTAAATTCATCTACACAGTCAATGCAGTTCCAACCAAAATCCTAGCAAGTCTTCTCGTTACATAGATTCTGGTAAGATGATTCTAAAATTTATACCTATTGGCAAAGAAACAAAAACAGCTGGAACAATTCTGAAAGGCAAGAAGAAAGCTGGAGGGATCACACCAACTGAGTTGACCTGTAGCACATACTCCTCAAGACAGAGTGGTGCTGGAAAAGCAACAGGTGCACAGATTAATGGAGCGACAGACCACACAAATGCGGTGACTGAGCACTTCCGTACAGATGCACGAAACAAGGCAAGAGGAAAGGGAGGCTACAGTGGAAGGTGTGGTCCTACAACAGGTACGCATCCACATGCAAGAAATGTGAACCCAGACTTACACCTCGCACCCCACACAAGGCCCAACTCAAAATGCAGCATGGATCGGAGCATAAATGTAAACAGCGCACGCTTCTGTGAGACACCCTGGAAACCCGTCGTAACCTGGTGGTAGGCAAAGAACTCTCAGGCGTGACACTAAAAGCATAATCTGTGTTAGGAAAAGCTGGTAAAACAGGACTTCATAAAAAAAGGCTTAAAAATGAGTAAGACACAGATACTTCACCAAAGATGTTCACCATCACTCGACGTCAAGGAAACGAGATCACAACCAGTGCAAACAAAACCCAGCGGCACCACGTGCTCACGGACGTGGGAGCAACTGGGACCAAGACTTGCTCTGGTGAGAGCGGGAGGGTGCAGCCGCTGCCTCAGCCAGCTCAAGCTGCGTAACAAAACGCCACAGACCTAGCGGCTTACAAACAGCAGACTTCTTCCTTGCAGTTCTGGAGGCTGAACTGAGAACTGAGGCTGCGAGTGGGAGCCGGCCTGGTAGGGTTGCAGACTAGGCACCAGGTCCCCGTGGGGAAGAAAGGGGCTTGTGGGGCCCCGCTTTGGGGGTACTCGCCCCATCCCGAGGCTCTGCCCTCACAATCTCATCACCTCCCGAAGGCCTCCCCTCCATCCGCCGTCGCCTTGGGGGTTAGGTTTCAGCACGTGAATCTGGAAGGGACGCAAACATTCAGACCACAGGTTCTCATGCCTTTAAACTACACTGACTGCACGAGCCAGCAGCCCGTGGGGAAGGCAAGCGAGCCCAGGCCCGGCGACAACAGAGCTGAGTCCCACAGCGGCTCTGATCGCACCTGCAGACGCCTGGGAAGCACTTGCTACCCTCCAGCAGCCGTGCAGACGGACTGCCTGTGGCCCATCCGCACCATGGGTTGCCACGCAGCCGAGGACCAGAATTCTAGTGACATCACGTCGGACCCCAGAGGCGTTCGGGTGAGCAGAAGCAGCCAGTCTCAGAGGTTTCACACTACGACTCCATCTGTACAACGTCCTTGGAAAGACAGAACTGCAGCGACGGAGAACAGGTTGTCACCATGGGGTCATAGGTGGGGGACCAAAGGGACAGCATCTAGACAGATGGTGGAGATGCCGTGTTCTGGTCAGGGCGGTGCTGTCGTCAGCCTACACGTGTTAAACCTCAGAGCTGCACCCCAAGAGCATCGTGAGCCAGTTCTACTCTGTGATAGTATTTAAAAGCCCTTAGGGAGAAAACACATTTTACTCGTAAGAAGGGTAACAAACTAGCAGCAGACGTTTCATCTGCAACAGGCCCAGGTGACACTGGACCCGCAGCTTCAAAGTGCTGGGGGAAAAAACCACCAACCCAGAATTCTAAGCCCAGATAATCAGTATCAGAAGCACGGGTGAAATAAAGACACCCACAGTCACAGGAAGGTGGTACCCTTTCTCCAGACGAGGAACACCACGGGCACAGGTCAGCTTAGCTCAAACGGCACACACGAAGCTATGACCTCTGCTGGGTGTTTTTAACTAATTATTTTGTGCAGTGAAGAGATGAGATGGAACCAAGATTCTAGCAACCACATGGGGAAGACAAGGGAGTAGGTAGGTGGTCCAATGAAGGCGTAAATGAAAGATTGTGCCCCGGGGGAGAGGCAGGGGGTGCCACCTCTCTGGGAGATAACGGGGTGGGTGCTCCTCCAGCAGTTTCCAGGGGAGGCACCGCTGTCCATACTAAGATCTGCACGCGACACCAGAGGGGGAACCACGCTCCAGTCCATTACCGTGTGTGGATGGAATGCGGTCCATCTGTACAACGGAGCATCGTTCAAGCTGCGGAACCTTGAAACCTTGATGCTCCGAGAAGTCAGATGTAAAAGGCAGGCTGGATGCATCCAGCTATGTGAACGTCTGGAGGTGAGCAGGGCCTGCTGCTCCCTGGGCTGGGCCAGGTGCCATACCAGGCCTGCTCCTGGTCGCCCAACTGAGCACCCCTTTTCCCTGGGTCACTGGTTTCCCTGCGGATATGTCTCCATGGCAGCTCCCAGTGAGGGGAGAGGGGTGGCCCCCGCAGATCCGGGTGGAGACTCTGCTCCCTCCTCCCGAACCCTGACCCTGCCCTCCTGCGCATCACGATGCCTCTGTGATGCCTCTGCGAGCCCCCTAGATGGAGGACCCCCCCACTGTCTGCAGTCCCCGAGCCTCCCTCCCGGGGCCGCCCTCCCCCCAGCCCCTCCGCGGGTGAGCACCTTGCTACTCCTCTCACTTCACTGCAGTTTCATTTTAAGGGTAAGGAAAAACACTCACTCATCTCCTTGGTCTAACCTGGACTGACCTAATGGAAAATACATGCATCTATACATATACATATATACGTATACACACGTGTGCACAAACACCATTACACAAATACATTTCCAATGTAAAAACCCAGAACGTTAAAAACAAAACTTTAAAACCATCAGAACAGTGTTTTTCAAGCCTGGGGAAGGTTAGGGTTTCTGGAACACGCGGTCGGCGGCAGCACTGTTGACAAAGGAGAGGGCCCAGCGCCGATGGTACGAGGCTCCCACCTCTGCACACACCTCCACACAGTTCAAGACACGCTCCAGGCCCAGGTCCCGGGAACAGTGGGGACTCCACCAGGAGACGCACGGGACCCGCCCCCACAGGGGTCCCGGGGGAGCAGGCAGCCTGCAGTGCTGGGAACACTCCTCCTCAGGGAGGTCTGCGCTGGGGTGGGGACATGGAGGGAGGTGACAAGCCGGATGCCAACACGCCAGGCTTTACAAAGTGGAGGGGGAGCTGCCTGCAGGGAACTCGGTGTACGAGACCCAGTCGGCTCACAGATACGCACGTCTTACGAGTGCCCGCCAAGACGTACAGAAACAAAAATTACAGCTCAGAACCCTGTGAGGACGGTGCCGTGGGCAGCTTAGGTGAGACAACGGAAAGGGGGTGAAAGGACTTCAACTTTCCTGCAACGTTTCTTTTTAATTAAAATACGTACATGATTCAAAATGTGCACAACTGTTAGTTCCGGGAGGTGGACACACGGAGCTTTTTCACCGTTCTCCGTGCGTTTCTACGCCTAACTCCTCAAAATAGAGAAGTGACTGACGTCGAGGGGAAGACCCCAGACTCTGGAGTCGCTCCCTCCTGGTCACCAGTGTGACCGGTGGGGACAGCTGCTGGCCAGCACCTGAGTGGAGCTGCACCCGCCCCACACCCCCAGCCAAGACCCAGCCCGGGCCCAGCAGAGCCTCTGAGCTCAGGGCGCTGCCTGCAAGTCAGGGGCTCCCTGTCCTGGAGCAGCAGCCCTCGTCAGGTCCCCAAATGCAGCTGAAGCCACTGGCCATTCTCCTAGGCCCAGGGGGTCCCTGCATGAAGGGACGGGCAGGCCAAAATGGGGGGCGCACACGTGGCCCTGCTGCAAAGACAGCCCCTAGGAGGGCCTGAGGGATGAAGAGCGCCCAGCGAACAGCTCCAGGAGAGAGAAGGCCGATTTCACCAAGGCCCGCGGGAGCGAGCGTGGAGCGTCTGGGAACCCACGTCACTGCTCAGGGAGCTGGGGAAACACAGCAGGGGTGTGGAGGGCAGGAAGCCAGGCGGCCCTGCCAGGGTCCCCACCGCCCAGGCCAGAGCCAACCAGACACCACTCACCACAGGGATTTCAGGGTTTTAGTGACGCCTTCTCCACGCCTGGTGGGGCTGAATGCGGCCCCGTGTGCTGCCGGGCCAAGGACTCGAGGCGCCCTCCCCCACGGTGGCCTGGCCTGGTTGGCAGCCAGGCCTGAGACTGTCCCTCTCTCCACAGGCCCCTCACTGTGGCCGGGGGGCTGCCCACCTCCCTCCGCTCACCGGCCCTGGCAGCCCCTGCGG